GGCTGCTGCGCCTCCGCAGGTCAGCGTACCTGGGGTGGGGAAACGCCTGGAGTTGCAGCACAGGGCTTCAGCGGTGTGCCTCGAACGCCACTGTGCGTGTTTTGATCGCCCACCTCGGCTAAACAGCTGTAATCGCCAGGACTAGTGTAGTTTAGGATTGCGCCGTCTGGTTTTTCCGTGTGCCGGGATGTAATGTCCTGGAAAAAAGAGGAGGGTCCCCTGCTAAAAGTTGGGAGGGAGAAAAGAATGCAGTTTTCCCTAATCAGTTCTGTATCAAGCTGATGCGCTGTTTCCCTTCTCTCCCCAGGCTGTGAAAGAACGTTCATCACAGTGAGTGCGTTGTTCTCCCATAATCGAGCCCACTTCAGAGAGCAAGAGCAGTTCTCCTGTTCGTTCCCTGGCTGTAACAAGCAGTATGACAAAGCCTGCCGACTGAAAATCCACATGAGGAGTCACACAGGTATTCGTCAGGGTGACTTGCACCTGGGGCAGTACGCGGAAGGTAGTATGTGGAGAGTGGACTTCAGTTCACTGGAAAATCTGAAAGTCGTGAAATCTGAAAGGGTGACATGAGTTATTTGGAGTCAGAGGAAACGTTTAAGTCTTGGTCTTCGGGGGGGTGGGAGTCCGCTAAATGAACTTGCCAAATGCGAAGTAGCTATGGACATGCAAAGCTGTGGCTTTTGGCATGTGAACCCTGTTCAGAAAAATTATCCCAGCTATATTCCCAGGTTTGTAAACATTCAAAACATTGTATAAATTCTAATCTTGGTCAAAACAAACGGTTAAAAACTCTCAGAACATGTAGGTAGAAAAGTTTGGGACAGCAAGAAGATAAATTTCAACACAGGCAAGCAAGGTCCACTGCTGAGCTGAAATCCAGCCTGCCAGCGTTTTAAAGACAATTATGTGTGCTCTCTATTGATCTCCATTTTCCTGCTTTCATGGCTTTACAGTGCAGGGTTTGGTTTGGGGTTTTTTTAAAGTGTCAGTGGAAGTTCACAGTGATGGAAACTAACTTCACATAGTTCACCATATTGTAATCAATATATAATAACAGGTCATGAAAACAGAAAAAAAACCACCATATCAGCTGTGTTTCTGTTTTGAATGATGCTATTATTGGTTATCAAAGCACCTTCAAGATAGCTCAGATTAATATGAGATGGATTGATAATTATCTGAGCTTCCTGATGCCTGGAGAAAGATGTGATGGCTTTGAGTTAAAGACAACAGACTGTATGATGGGGAAGGGGCATCGCAGTACTCTGCAGTGAATTGCAGGAGAGGGTGGTTGAGTCTTGTTTTAAATTAATTTAAGCAGCTCTTGAGTTTTCCTAGTAGCAGTTTGTATTTCCATATTCGATTATTAATGTAACCTTTCTTTGCTTAAGGTGAAAGGCCTTTTATCTGCGACTTTGAAGGCTGTGGCTGGTCTTTCACCAGTATGTCCAAGCTGCTGAGACATAAAAGGTAGCCTTTTCTGATTATACTGTCTCTTGCTGGTTGTTCGTTTGTCTTTCTTCTGGTACTTAAGCAGCAGTGGATTTAATCACAGCAGTGACAATTTCCTTCCCTTGTAGGAAGCACGAAGATGACAGGAGATTTATGTGCCCAGTAGAAGGTTGTGGGAAGTCCTTCACAAGAGCGGAACACTTGAAAGGCCACAGTATAACTCACCTTGGTACAAAACCATTTGAGTGTCCAGTAGAAGGTATTGCTCAACTCTTGTTTGTATTAACCAGTGATCAGTGCGTATATTGCCTGAAGGTTGTGTGCCTTTTCCCCAAACGCAAGCTTATTACAGGGTTGGAACAATTTAGAGTGAGTCTTCTAATGGAGATTGAAGAGGCAGAACTCAACAAAAGACGTGTAACTGAATGAGTGATCATTCTCAAAGTTATGGATTGTGGAGAAAACAGTGGTTCATGCTCTAGCTTGATTTTCTTCTTTATGATGAACAGAACTGCTTTATTCTGGAAAATCTTGCTTCTGATACTCAGTTTCTGCAGCTCAGCTTTTTCACTTGATTCATTTGAAGTAGTGAAAAATGGTCCTGTCCAACATCTTCAAGGCCGTGGTTTGCTATTGTGACATGTCAGCTCGAGTGCTCAGTGGTTGCACCGTGGTAGTCTCTACCGCTGGGGTGGTGGGTGGCCATGCGAGTGGTACCTGTTTTGGTTGTATGGGAGCCTCGCTGGCGCTCCGTGTGCTGCTCAGCACTATATCCATCACTTCATCAGGACTGCAGGAACAAAGGGTTTGGGTCTGATGGGGAATATTCTGCTTCATAAAGTAAAGCAGCTCTGCTTGGTGATTGTTTCTCCTTTTAGTGGTTTTGCCAGCAGTCATCATGAAGAGTTTACATGCAAGATGCCATAGTGGGGAAAGGTTGCGTATTACGCTGAATGACTTAAGAGTTTCTTGTTGTCGGAAACGGGTCGTTGAACTATCTTACCCACTGAGGTGTCCTTGATATAAAACGAGGAAATGAATATTTGGCTTTCTCCTAATTCCTCTGAATGTATGCATGGGTGCTGCAAAATAGCTAATGGACTTCTGCAGAGCTACTCAGATTTGTTTTATTAAGATACTAAATATGAACATCAGATTGAAATCAGATGCTTTAAAGCCTTGTATATCATCTTGCAGGCTGTTGTGCAAAATTTTCAGCACGAAGTAGTCTGTATATTCACTCCAAAAAACATCTTCAGGATGTGGACTCATTAAAGACTCGTTGTCCTGTATCGAGCTGTAATAAATTATTCACTTCCAAACACAGTATGAAGACGCACATGGTCAAACAGCATAACTTCAGCCAAGGTAAAGTATTTGTTTCAGACTATAGGAGGGTGCAGTGGAAAAACTAAATGTTTTATTAAGGAAAATGTGTATTCACTGATGTTGAAATCTGAGCCACATCAATATGAATGGCAGAATATTCACCGAGACTGGAGTTGGTTCCCCCCCCCCTCTAAAATTTTCAGTGGGATCTGTAAGTAAGTGTCAGAAAGTGAGACTTGAGCTTGACCTGTGTGAAACTGTGAGAAATTGCAGCTTTTTTGAATGAAGTAGAGCTTGTCCTTCTCTATGCCATCTGTAAAATATGAGCAAGGACTAAAAGCACTTCTTTTCGGACTCATTTTTCCACTCCTCTGCACCCTAACTTAGTCTGGACTGCCTTAGTGTTATCTTTTGGCAAGTGCTTTTGTAACTGAAATTTCTCAGTAAAAGAGTGAACTTCTTTCAGTAAACTTCTTTTCCTTAAATCTACTTTCAAGGAAGTTGGGAAGTATTTTAGTGGGCTGAGACTCCAGAGTTTTAAGCTTCCTCCTTTGATCATTCATATTCTTCCTCCCCATTTGCTGCTGAAAGGACTGTTTTATAACCAAACCCTTCTCTTCCAGATCTCCTAACTCAGCTTGAAGCAACCAGCTCCCTCACACCCAGCAGTGAACTCACGAGTCCAGGACAGAGCGATCTCAGCAACATAGACCTTGTATCCCTGTTCTCCAACGTGTCTAGTAGCAATTCTGGAATTTCAACAGACATGGCGCTAGTGAACTCTGGAATTGTCACGATTGATGTTGCTTCGGTGGGCTCAACGCTCGGAGGAAACCTGCCTGTCAGTAACAATTCTTTAAGCCAGGCAGTTGATCCCTTGATACTGGTGGCTAGCAGCGACATGCCGCAGAGCCTGGACAGTTCTCTCTTGTTGGGAACCAGTGCAACAGTTCTACAGCAAAGCACTTTAAATTTGGATGATGTACAGACTGTCAATGCAGAAGCCTTGGGTTCGCTAGCATCTCTGTCGGTGAGGAATTCCAGTCAAGATGTGCACGGTTTGACGTCCAGCAATAATTTAACAATCGACACAGCCACTTTGACTCCTTCGAGTAGCCTCGGCAGTACCAATGTGCCTGAGTTACTAACACCAACTAAAGTTGAACGGAATTTGCTTCCTAGCTCGGACGTTGTTGGTCAACAAGAGGGCAGCAAAGTAGTGACGCAGTTTGTCTTCTCCAACCCTCCAGGGAGCTACAGCGCGCAGAAAGAAATGGATCTTGGCGCAGTGACTGGCAGCTCATTTTTGGTATGCAGTAACTAAATTCAGTTTACCCCTAGATGACCGGGAGAACCTGGCTCTGGGGATATCCATTGCTACCTACAGGGAGACCTTTCTCAGATTTTGCAGATCATGCATTTTGGCTTTTTAGGATGAAGGATGTAGAACAAACATTATGTTGAATAGTGTGTTGTCAAAAGTAGATTCAGCGTGGTGATAAGTTCTCTTAAGAAATACCGGAATTCTAGTGGGGAGAGTTAAGGCAGAACCTTCCAAAATAAGGGATTAAAAAATAAGCAGCCATCTGTCCGAGGATGAAATGGAATTTACAAAGAATACCCAAGAGTATGTGTTATGTCTTGTGCATTTTGTTCCAGGGAAGATTTGGGCTGGGAGAGTAACTGAAACATTTTCATCTCAGTCCTCATTCCAGTTTTAAGTACTCTTCCCTTTCTGCTTTACTATGTTACTGCAAACTTAACTGTTTATTTATATTACAAAGTAAATATTTACCCTGTTAAAATCTGAACACTTGTAAACATATGTGGAGCCAACTTCCATTTGTGTTGAACTCTACATACTGAGTACATACAGGGAATTTATTGAAACTAAGCAGAAGAGCATGGGAAACTAGAATTCAGTGTTTGCAGTGTAATAGGTAACTGCAACTGAGAACTCGTTAGTCTGTGTTCATTGTCTTGGTGTGTTCTTGCATTCAGAAAACTTTGCATCTCTTGGCTTTTTTTTTTTTTTTTTTTTTTTTTTTTTTTTAACTAGGAGAGCAGTGGGTCTGCGAGAACAGACTACAGAGCCATTCAGCTAGCCAAGAAAAGAAAGCAAAAAGGGAATGGGAGCAGCACAGGTGAGAAGTCATTAATTTTCTTAAATTTACTAAATACAATTACTGAGGGGTTTTGGCAGTGAAATGGGAGCAGGTATCTGAGTACATCCTTAAGCATCCCATCCGGTTTATTGCTAGTTAAAATAATTATGCATGTGGTGTACCATCTGTTACTCGGGATAATCACATTCTGTGGAATATCAAATTCACAGTAAGTTTACCAAGAAATCTGCACCATATGTTTCATGATTGTTAACAAGACACTATGCCTCCATCTCTTCATCTGCTTTTTATTTTCTTATTAAAATAAAAAAAATTAAGGTCACTTTGCTTTCTGTTGTTCATGCTTTTGGTCTTACCTAGTGGGTTCTCTCTTGCTCCGTACAGACAATGAAAACATTAGCTGCATTTGTTTTGCTTCTGTGTTTCATTTAGTAACAGTGTGCATGCAGTGTTAAGGAATTTATTGATTATCTAGAAATGCTCAAACCTCTCCCTTAGATTGTAACCGTATAGAGAGTTCTTGTGCAGGGTGAGGTTTAGTTCAAGATTTCAGATGTGTCCTCTTTCTCTTAAACTGGAGTTTGACTCAAAGCTGTCTGATGTGACTTACACACCACTACTTTGTCAGGTCAAACGTGGTCCATGGCTCACTAGACTTGCATGAGCTCAGGCCTTTGAGCTGTGTCCACCCTTGGGGCTGGCGTGGAACAACATACATATATATAGTTTAGTTCTTCCTTGTTGTCTCTTAATGCCTTCCACCTCTGAAATTCCAGGTGATAATTTTTAAGGTGAGTTAAGAGACTAGTTCTGAATTGAGCACTCTTACGTTTCTGTCTTTGTAAAAGGCATTC